TTGGCATGCCCAAAAATTGTGGTCGTGGGCCTGGCCTTCTTCCATCATCACGTCTGCTCCTTCATTTTTGCCAGTTTAAAGTGTTTGGATGCAGTACTTTCACAGTCTCTGATTCCATTGGTTTATGTTTTAAGTTGCAAAACACATGACTCTGAGGTTTTGGATGCTCTGAAATAAGATTTAAAATGCAAGACCTCATTTCAAACATGTCGGCTGTGAAAAGTAAAGTTCCTAGTATTTCTTCAGGAACCATAGTGCCCAAAGTGGTCTCTACTTTTTACTCATTCATACTGTTTTTGTATCTGTTGTTGTGTGTCTTCAAGTCGTTTCTGACTTACGATGATCCTATCACAGGGTTTTCTTGACAGGTTTCTTCAGAGGAGGTTTACCGTTGCCATCCTGAGGCTGAGATCGTGTGACTTACCCAAGGTCACCCAGTGGATTCCCGTGACCAAGCCTTTGTTGTTGTGTGCCTTCGTTTCCGACTTATGATGACTCTAAGGCGAACCTATCATGGGGGTTTTACCCGTGCAAAATTCCTAAGGGAGCATTTTCACTAGCAGTAGCAACAGCAGCAGCAGCTTGAAAATAAAGGCAGTTGCTAAAAACGATTTGAGCAATAAAATGCCAGATATCTCTCAAAGCTAGTATTACTTCTCTCAGGTCTTCTGTCACTTCTGTTCAATAAAGGAGCTGAGTCACACTCTGCTGATGGATGGCAGTATGGAGGAAGTCAATAAGGAAGTGGTGTGAGATTGCTGGTTCTTATTGTAGGACATGAGAGTGTGAGGGAAAGAGTCACAAGACAGGAGAGATGGGGATGGGACAGGATAAAGATCCCATGAGTTTGGGAACAGCTTAGCAAAAGAGAGAGAGAGAGAGAGAGAGAGGGTGTGAGATTTGAAGCCTGTGGGCATGCCCTAAATCTGGCATTTCTTGAAATTTTTACATGCCACTTCAATAGTTGCCAGCGTGACATAGTGGTTTGAGTGTTGGACTGTGACTCTGGGGACTAGGGTTTGATTCCCAGCTCTGCCATGAAACCCACTGGAAGACCTTGGGCAAGTCACATGCTCTCAGCTTCAGGGGAAGGCAATGGCAAACCTCCTCTGAACAAATCTTGTTAGGAAAACCCGATGAAGGGTGGTTCACATTAGAGTTGCCATAAGTTGGAAATTACTTGAAGGCACACAACAACAACAATACTTCTAAACTGGAGTGGAGTATTTTACCAGCTCCATGGGCCAGTGTTCTGCCCCTGATGCTTTTTGGGGCCAACATGGACTTGCAAAAAATGCCAATGCCAAAAGTCCTGGTTTTGAAAAAACAAGCATTTAAAAAATGTTAAGCAAGGCACAGTTGCCTCTGCAATTTACGTAAAAGATAAATTGCCTCCTTTTCATCTTTCATTTATGGAAGTGTATGTAAAAAGGGAGGCCAGAGTGGTGGTGTGGTTTGAGCTGGAGAACAGGATTCAAATCCCCTCGGTCATGGAAACCCACTGGGTGACCCTGTCTCTTCTTGATAATGGCCAGGCTTTCTCATACAACAGCCTTACAGAAAGCTCCACAAACATAACTGATGCACATACAGATGCATCTGTTGTACATCACCTTAAGCACTGGTGGGCCTAGAGGTGATAATTAAGTACAGTAAATAAATACAATATACATGCCTTCTAGTCTGTTTGGTTGCTCTTTCACACACAGGTGGCACTAAAGTCAGGGGGATCTGGGTTTTTGAGAGTGACAAAGATGCTTGTCTGACCTTCCCCGCTCTCACCCCCTAGCCTACCTTGCAGAGTTGTTGTATGATATTGTAGGCCGGGTTGTTTTGAGGATAAGGCCTTGGGCTGTGGTGGGCAGATTAAATTTCCTCTTCCATAGTCTTGTTCAGTCTCTAATTCTTGTGTGATAGAGGAAATCAAGCCGGTTAAGTCACTCTTCTAATTGGATCTGCTTGGTTTGGCATAGAATCATCTTGCCTTCTATGTTTCGTGGTGCCCTTTGGAAGCAGAAAAGAAGACATAATGGT